CCAATGTGTTAACTTTTCATCAGTCAGCCAGAGAACACAATCCCCTCAAAGGAAAAGCATTTACTAAAATAACTCAGTGAGTAACAGAACATCTACCTTAAACAGTCAGGGTAGATTTTTCCACAAATGTACACCACATCATTCGGAAGAGAAGACATCCTCAGAATTCACAAGTAAAGAAACACACATGTAGGAAACACGTGTGGCCAAGGCCATTTTATCTCCAGTGCTGCCAGTACTTGGCCACAAGGGTCATATAGGAGAAATATTTTAAAAAAAAAAAGATTACTTTTACTCCAAAAAATTATAGAAGGCAAAAATAATCTTGTGAGGACCAACAGACAATGAACTATTTTTCTTTGTCTATCAATACATGTAATGTATTATAAAGTATACATTGGTCTCACTTTCTCCAACAGTACAGAAAATACTGAAGGAAAGCATTTCTATTCTCTGGATTATCAGAGAGAATAAAATGTTGCTCAAAAGAATGGGAAAAAATGCTTCAAGAAGCAAACAAAAAATAAAAAGAAATTGAAAAGGTAGAGAGGACTTCTTGCCTGAGTCAGGAATTAATTTGAATTATAGAAGAAATGTGACATAGGGGAGAATGGGAAGAAAAAGGATCAATGAATATTTGAAACTATATAATAGGTGTAAGGCTTTTTCCCATAGAGGAGTGAACCAGGCTATCTTGGAGGGAAAGAGACTTTTGTGCTTCCAAGAGTGATGTAAATCCACAGATTTCACAAGTGAAAGGTTATCCAGTAGTGACCAGAGGGAGAAGAGTGAAGCAGTGGTGATTCTTTGCTGAGTGACAATTAGATATTCGTTGATCTGACATAAACAACTAAGATGTCAGCTATCTTCTGAGATGCAATAGAGAACTCCTCCAGATTTTTTACATTGATACCCACTTCTACTGATTCGGGTGGAAACCAAGAATACCACCCAAAGAATGGACACACTGGATGCTTTCAAGCCACCAGGCCCAGTTGAATTACCTCTGAGGGTACTGACAGAATTGGCAGGTACAATTGCTGGGACACTATCAAGGAGTGGAGAATGACAAAGACTATTCTGATCCCCGCCCCCAAAAAAAGAGGTGATAGAAAACAGACTCTATAAGCTAAAGGCCAGGGAGTTTGACTGATTCCTGACAAAATTATACAAGTTTTTATCAAAGGCCTGATTAATGAATATCTAGTGATCATAAAGAGCTAGCATGACTTCATCAAGAGTAGATCATACCAAGCTAACTTTATTATATTTTTGTGATAGATTTTCTAAACCAATAGAACAAGGACATGCAATCAATACACTTTACCAATATTTTACCCAAGCATTTAACAAAGTACCTCATGCTATTCCTGTGGATAAGCCAGAGAGGTGTGGACCGTACTATAGTAAATTTAGGTGTATTTAGAGCTAATTGAGTAGCTGGACTAAAACCAAATAGTAATTATTACTTCAATGACAACTTAGAAAGAGATCTGTAGTGGAGTGCCCCAGGGATTTGTATCTGGCCCTGTACTGTTTAACATTTTTATAAATGACTTGGATAAAAGTATATATAACTTGCTTGACAAATTTACAGCTGACATAGAACGAGGACAGATAACTAACACACTAAATGATGAGTTCAGCATCCAAAAGTCTTCACAGGTTACAGTATTAGTCCTACTCTACTACAATGAAAAATAGGGATAAATATAAAGTCTTACTCTTAGATTAAAAAATCAACTTCTCATGTACAAGATGACAGAGACGTAGATAGAGGGCAGTTTTTCTGAAAAAGATCTGGGGCTTTCAGAGGGCTAAAAACTCAATCTGCATCAGTAATGCGGCATGGCAGTCAAAAAAAAGTTACTGTGATAGTCAAGGCTGCACTAAGGGAGGCAGAGTGTCTACGACATTGCTTAGAAAGCATCCAGAGGAATCTGACCAGGAGGGCAAAAGGCCTCAAGGGTATGCCATATGAGGATCTGTTAAAAGAATTGGGCATATTTAGACTGAAGAACAAAAAATTTAGAGGGATCAAGATAGGTGCTATCAAGTATTGAAGTGCTGTCCATGTAGAAGAGCAATTAGACTCTTATGTTTGGCCCCTCAAGGCCGAACCAGGTAGCAATAAATCACTTAACAAGCATTCATTAAGTACTTACTATATGCTAGAGACAAAAGGACAAAAAAAGAAAGAATCCTTCCTTTCAAAGAGTTTCCATTATATCAGGGAAGATAATAGACCGTTTGGCCAGGTGATAAGTATTTATTAAGCATTTACTAGGGGTTAAGGCACTGTGCTTGCTAAGCACTGGGAATACAAATACAAGCACCAAGAAAGACAATTCCTTCCCTGCCCTCAAGGAGCTTCTATTTTAATGGTGGAAGACAACATATAAAACTGAAAAGGGAATGTGGAAGGAAAGTAGCATGGCGAAGTTCGGGGAATCAGAAGCAAGTTCTGTCAGGCTGGGCCCTTCCCCAAAATGGTGGCTCCAGAAGGAACCTCATGAATGGGAGACTGGGCCAGCGTGGCAAAGGGATGTTCTGGGGTAACAAGGAAGCCGGGGAATGATAGAGAAGGCTGGAGAGTGAAAGCTGCAGAGGGGCAGAATTGGAAGCAACATAAGGAAAAGTTTCCTATTGGTTGAAAGCCATGCCAAAAAGAAATAGGCTGCCTTGAGGGGCGATTGGCTTCCTCCCTTACCAGAGACCTTCAAGCCAAGTTTGGACAAAAAAATTATCAGCCAGATGTATTGTCAAGGATATACTCATTTATATATGGGTTGGACTAGATGGATTCTAAAATCCTTCCTCATTCTGATGTTCTGTTTGTTACCAATGTGCCTGAGAGCAGGGAAATCTCTGATGAGCTCATATCTTAAAAGAACATTTGTAAAAGACGGCAACAAGGGCACCTAGCCAAGGACAAATACTAAAGAGTGTCATCAGCCAGTCAGAATAGTGTCTGGCATGAGTCCAGAATGAAATGAGGTTTATGAGGAGGGAAAAGGACAGCAAAAAAGGCTATGTTCTAGACAAAAGAAAAAAGAAAAAAAAAAGGATAGGAATACAAAGAAATATAGAAAGACTTCTACGAAAAAATGAAAAATAAAAAAGGCAGAATCAGAAGAATGGAGTACATGCTAACTAAGATCACAGGAGAGGACAAGTTGAATGAGAATGAATAGAGAAAGAATCCTGAGAAAGTGATTGAAAAATTATGATGCTTTATATGCTTAAATTAAATAATTTAAATATAAAGGATTAGTTGGTTATGCTGGTGTCCAATAATTAGATTTTAATTAAATATTTATTTTATTTTAAGGGGAAGAATTAAGTTCACTCTTTAGGAAAGGTTGTATAATGTAAACAGATGACAAAAATAAGGTAAAACTGTTCCATTTCTGTCTTGCTTTGTTTTTCCAAATAAGATGAGTTATCTCCAGGCTGAAAACAGTAGAATGGAAAAATTCCAACAAAGGGAATTGAAGCTCAAGAGGAGGCATCATAGTTCAATGGAAAGAGTGTGGGATTTGAAGTCAAAGGATCTGGGTTCAAATCCTGGTTACTACCTTTTGTAACCTTTAGCAGGGGGCAGCTAGGCACCACAGTGGATAGAGCATGAACACTGGAATCAGGAGGACCTGAGTTCAAATCCAGCCTCAGACACTTACTAGCTGTGTGACCCTGAGCAAGTCACTTAATCTTGTTTGCCTGAGTTTCCTCATCTGTCAAATGAGCTGGAGAAGGAAATGACAAACCACTCCGGTATCTTTGTCAAGAAAACCCCAAATGGGGTCACAAAGAATTGGACGCAACTCAATAACAACAAACCTTTAACAACTCACTTAATCTCTCTAACTTCAATATCCTTATCTGCAGAATGAGGGAGTTCAATTAGATGATCTCAAAAGTTCCTTCCAGCTCCGAATCCATGAGCTATAATTCTATTATAGGGGCTCGCTTTGTGAAGTTCTGTATAAATGTTATCTATTATTACTATTGGGTGGCATGTTTATCTAAGGTTGCTTCCAATTCTGTGATTCTATGATTAAATACCAGGATAATGATGTGTTGTCCTGTCTTTTCTTTATGAAAATAATAGTACTGTGCTTAGAATTCTTTCCGCAGTAGTGATAGATTTGGGCTGGGTCATTCACATGTTCATTTCTGATTTCCCACTATAATTAAAAGCATGCCTTTAAGATTGTCCAGGATTAAGGATCTGGTAAAAATTGTGATCAAGGAAAGAGAGGTGTGTGTGTGTGTGTGTGTGTGTGTGTGTATGTGTGTGTGTGTCCCCATGTATTTGTGTCCATGTGTGTACAAGCTTGCCCACTCTAGGAGGCTTACTGATCTGTGTGGAGATGAAACACTTATCTTTGATTCTAGCCCTAGCATGTTTTAACCACGCAGGCTAACCAACTTAGCTTTATTTTGAAATAACCCCAATAGACATACCCCTAATAATCCCCTTAAGCACGAAAGGGCAGTCAGGCTGGATTTAAAACAATCACATTAGGCATTTTTCAACTCTCTCTTGAAAGGAGAATCCAAACAGTTCTAACAGCTTCTTCCTCTTCTAAGGAATTTCCAAGGGTGTGCTGGAAATGAGCTTAGCTCATTCTGGCTAAGGAGCCCATTGTTAAATTTTTCCATGCGAACATTTACACTTCAGAAATTGGCTAACACTGAAAATCGGGGCTCGATTGTTTGGTTGATTATCTAGCGTCTAGACTTAAAATATTGGCAAAAAATAATGTAATGTAATGTAATGTAATGTAAATAATGTAGATTACATGTAGATTACACTTAATGTAGATTACACTTAAAAGTGTATGGTGATTTTCAGAGAGCCAGTTGTTAAACATTTGCCGGCACAGCTGCATTTCGCCTCATCCTTCCTGTGTGTTAAGAATCCTTAGCCCAGATGCTTTCCCCACTAAACCACCCTACCTTTGCCTTTCAGTGGCTCCCCTCCTGCCTCCAACGTCATGAAAACCCTGCTCTATGACCTCCTGTTGCTGGGTCTGTTCTCCAACGCTTTCAGCGACTGTCAGAAGGATTGTTTGACATGCAGAGAGAAGCTTCACCCGTCCCGGGACGGCTTCAGTGTCGATGTAAGCCAGATCACACCTAGGGACTTTTGAACCCCTGTGCAGAGTACTGTGTTCCTTTATCTTGCCATCTTCAATTCAGGAGATGCCTCCAATCTGCAAGCACGTGTACAACATTAGAATATCTCCATAGGCCTATTTGCATCATACTTAACCTCCTCAAACCTTAGCTTTTCAGTTTAATGCAACATAAATTGATTTTGACAAAGTTAATTTTTATAGTAATGCCTTTCTCAGCTGATCCCACCAAATAGCAAATAGATTTGCTCCTCTCCCATCGCTGTATTTTAATTTTTAATTGATTCAGTTTGATGAATATTATTAAGCACCTAGTTAAACACCTAGTACGCAAAAGGTCCTATGCCAAACCCTAGGAAGAAAAAATTGGATAAGGCCCAACTCTTGCCCTCAGGGAGCTTACCATTTTGTAGGGGAGAAAAGGCAGGTATGAAGATAAAAATAATGTAAATTAGAATACGCCAAGTGTGTGCTATAGGGCAGCTACTGCATAGTGGATAGAGTGCCAGCCTGGGGTCAGGAAGACTCTTCTTTCTGAGTTCAAATCTGGCCACAGACACTTACTAGCTGTGTGACCCTGGGCAAGTCGTTTAATCCTGTTTACCTCAGTTTCCTCATCTGTAAAATGAGCTGCAGAAGGAAATGGCAAATCACTCCCGTATCTTTGCCAAGAAAACCCCAAATAGGGTCACAAAGTTCAAACATGACTGAAAATAATCCGACAACAGATACAAAGTGTGTACAATAGGAACAAAGAAAAGCTTACAACAAGGAAGATATTAATTCCAACTGAGACAATCAGGGAAAGCTTCAGGGAGTATCCTAGGATCATTGATGGAAAGCTAGACTGGACCTAAGAGGTTATCTAGTTCAACCTTTTCCTTTTACAGATGTGGACCTAAGGACCAGAGAGGTTAAGTCCAAGGTCAAACAGGTACTAAACCCCAGAGCTGAAATTCAAACTCAGGTCCTCTGACTTCAGACCTAGCAGTCTTTCCACTGTACCATGCCATCTCCCACTTCTTATATAAAACGTCACATCTCGAACCTCTCAGGATTTTTTAAATGCCCACACTATTAAATATGTAATATTAATTAATAAGCAGATAGGTGGTACAGTAGACAGAGCACTGGACCTGGAGTTAGGAGGTCTTGAGTTCAAGTTTCACCTTAGACACTTACTAGCTGTGTAACCATGGACAAGTCATTTAACTTCTGTCTACCTCAATTTCCTCATCTGTAAAATGGGAATCATAGTAATAACTCTCAAGGTTGCTGTGAAGATAAAATGAGATAATTTTATATGTATATATACACATATATGCATTTTTTCATGCATACATATAAATAAATATAATTTGTAATATATAATGAAAGCAAACACATTACTGAAATGGATCTAGGACATTCAATTTTGCCCTCATTCCTGCCCTGCCACCCTCCCCATGATGCTCTGGCCCTTATTCTCCATTTAAGACTTCTGGTCAGTGCAGAAGTCAGCTGAGCAGGGATGCTGTTGTCCTAACTCAGAAGGGCAGAATCTCTGGTCCATCAGGGATTCAGTGTATCAAACATGTACTCAAGACCACCCATACTGCTGACCCTTGTCTTGAGCAGCTGGCTGACATGGAACAGGGCCAGATAACACATTAGGCATGATTGAAAGGGATAGTTGAGTATAGTTTGGGGGTATTATGAAGAGGCAGACCCAGCCTCAGGTGCTTGGATTTTGTCCCACTTTTGGCAAGCTTCCTCATGGCCTGGGGACCTGGCTGGTGGCAAAGCCAAGTAACTTCGGTTTTTACTCTGGGCAGCTCATTGGCCCCCAAAGCACCCTCCTCATCTCAAGCCCTGCCTGCTTTCCTTTTCAGGCAGCCAAGCCCTGAAGGAGTCACTAGCATATACTTTTGAAGTGCCCAGGGAAAATGGTGATAGACCCAGGGCATCTGAAAGTCCTGTCTCAAAGGGGCTGGGACCTGGGCTGTCCTGACCTAAGGAGCCTAGACTAATAGCCAATAATAGCCTAGCCTAGATAATTAGAGACCACAGAATGAGACCTGAAAAGGATCTTAGAGACCATCTTGTCCAGCTCCTTCATTCTATATATGAGAAAACTGAAGTCCTGAGAGGTCACATAGATTGTTAGTGACAGAGCTGGAACTAGAACCCAGACCTAGAACCCAGATCTCTGGGATCCTAGTCCTGTGCTCTTCTGCCACACTGAGAGCCTATAGGAACAACTAAAAACCAAGGAGGTAAAAGAAATCAGCTGGGACAGGAAGGACTTAGGGTCCAGGAAACTGAGCTAGGTGGGTTCTGAAGTGAGATGGGGGATATTATTTTCTGGAATATTCTTTTACTCTGAACATATATAGGACAGATATTTGCTATCACTTCCTTTCCCCCGACAATTATGGTTTTTCTATTTCTTTTTAAAGACAGTGTTGCGTAGTGGTTACTGAATTTGGATGCCTATACTGGCTCTGTCTGCTCTGTGACCTTAAGCAAGTCAACCTTTCTGGCCTTAGTTCTCTGTAAAAGGGCAGGAAGGATGAAATAAATGAACTCTGATGTTCCTTCTATCTCTAAACCTATGATCCTAAAACTAATATGCATAAACAATGCCTGATATTATATACGACACACAAGAGGGATAGGGACTAGAGCTAGGATTTCATTGGAATGGAGAGCTTCCAGATGAGGAAACTCTTTACCAATTCAGGTGAGAAACTTCTCTGCTATCTGTACTCTTACAAATTGCCAAAAGCACTAAGAGGTTAAGTGACATGCCCAGGGTCACACACTCAGTGTGTCTCAGAGACCATACTTGAATCCAGGTTTTCCTGGCTTTGATACCAGTTCTCTATCCAATACAACAAGCTGCCTCTCTAGGTGAGCACACTCTACATCGAAATATAAAGAAATTAAAAGATCCAAGGACAACTAGTTATCTTAAAGAACAGCTAGGTGGTGCAGTGGATAGAGCACTGGAGTTTGGCATCGGTAAGACTCATCTTTCTGAGTTCAAATCCAGCCTCAGATACTTCCTAGCTGTGTAACTCTGGGCAAGTCATTTACCCTTTTTTGCCTCATTTTCCTCATCTGTCAAAAGAGCTGGAGAAGGAAATGGCAAACCACTCCAGTATCTCTGCCAAGAAAACCCTAAATGGAGCCATAAAGAGTTGCACACGAACTGAAACAACTCAGTAACAACAAAAGTTATCTTAAGTGTTTTCAATCACTAACCTTGGTTTTCCTCCAGGTACTTTATAGACTGTAAGTACTACAGAAATATGAACTATTACTACCACCAAGTAGTCCTCATTTGCTTTGAATCTCTTCCCTTGAAGTTAAAACCTCTTGGAACTAGAAAAGTCACTCACCACAGGCTTCCCTCGGGCCTTTGATGTTCTCTAGAGAGAGACCTTGAGCTGCTCCTCCAATCAGCTCTGAGCGTTAAGAGTTTCTGCCATGTTCCCCTACACTACGTACTTCTTCTTCCGTCTTATAGCAAAGAAAAATATCACCAAGGAGTATAGCCTCTTGTCTTGGTGATACCAGCTGCCATGACTACCACTCCTGGCAGAGGCAGGTCCAGGAGAATGGGGAAGGGCCCAACAGGTGTAATCAAGTATCCAGCTGTCAAAGATCTCACCAGCCTGAGGCAGAACACAATGGCACAAGGCTTTGCCCAATGACACACAGGAGGCAAGAGAATACCAAGAGAAAGAAAGTGATCAGCTCAGATTCTTAAAATCTAGCCACTGCTCAGATTCTTACAATTTAGCCAATAGCTCAGACTCCTTAAGAGTTTGCTCAATATGACAGATGTTCTAATAAACCTTGTCTTTGGCTGAAAAAAAAAAAAGAGAAAGAAAGAAAATGATCCAGGTGAACAGACTCCCCAGGGTGGCCCCGTTTTGCCATAAAGAGGTCTCATCTGACTCTCTTGCCCTCCATCCTTGCCAAAACATAACTCCTCCACCACAGTATAGTGGGCCAATCTAAACACCAGCCCATAAGCCTGAACTCTCCCTGCTTTTATCCATTGCCTATACTAAAAGATGTCTTCAAGTAAGAGTGAGGCTGGTGCCTTCTGGTACTGACAACAGTGGCTGCTCTCTGGCCCCTCGTCTTCCTGACAGTTATAAGGCTGGATGAGAAAAAGACAAATAGAGTAACGCCTCATTTATATATTATAGAGCAACCTCACCTACCTAGACCATAGCCAAGAAATAGAAAGGAAACAAGAAAGGCTTTGGAGAAAGCAAAACAGATTCACAGAATCAATGGACTAAAATTCATATAAGAAACCTCCCTGGCCCTCATCTAAAGCCTGTTCAGGAGAAGAGAACAAGCATGTATTAAGTACCTACTATGAGCCAGGCACAGTGGATAGAGTGCCAGGCCTGCTGTTAGAAAGACCTGAGTTCAAATCCAGCTTCAGACACTTACTAGCTGTGTGACTCTGGGCAAGTTACTTAACCCTGTTTGTCTCAGTTTCTTCATTTGTAAAATGAGCTAGAGAAGGAAATGGCAAACTACTCCAGTATCTTTGCCAAGAAAACCCTAAATGAGATCGCAAAGAGTCAGACACAACTGAAAACAGCTAAACAGCATGTGCCAGGTACTGAGCTAAGAACTTTACAAATACTATCTCATTTGATCCTCACAACAACCCCAGGGAGGTAGGAGCTTAATTATCTCCATTTTACAGTTGAGGAAACTAAGACAGAAGTTTAGTGACTTGCCCAAGGTCACACAGTTAGTAAGTGTCTGAGGTCAGACTTGAACTCAGATCTTCCTAACTCCAGGCCCAGTGCTCTATCCACCCATTGTACTACCTAGCTGACTTCCTACAGCATATTTTTGTTGTTGTTTAGTTTTTCAGTCATGTCCAACTCTTCATGACCCCATGGACCATAGCATGCCAATACTGTCCATTCTGTGTGCCATTTCTTGGCAGAGATACTGGAGTGCTTTTG